TTTCTAAATTCATTACTATATTTTTGCTTTGGCTAATATCATAATATTATATGGCTAATATCATATAATCATAATATCATAAATTATAACAATATAATTATTATGACTTTTATGACATTTGTCATGCTTATATAAGTTAATAAAATTATGCGAGCAAGGCATCCTGTACAACATAATTTGCCCATCTAATTTTACTACATTATGCTAATTTTAAATAATCCTATATTTTATAAATTGCATGATATTTTCATATATCTTTGGTATACCATTAATTTTTATGTAACTTTACATATTTTTGAATTGTATATCCAGATTGATTTACAATATTTTTATGTCCCATGAAATTATTATATTAATTTACTAAAAAAAAAATTTTGTGCAAGTTGTATAATTAAACGCTGTTTGTGACATTAGATATGCAAGTATTTTTCTATCTGTATATTTAAATATAAAAATATTTTAATCAACAAAGTACGAATGTTATAATTAAATATGAATATTATACATGTTGAGTTGTTACGTTCAAGTTCCAACAAGTTTGATATGACTTCGAAGATTCTTGTTTTTACATTTTAAAATGAAATTCTTAGGAACTTGATAATTTTCAATAAAAATTCTATAAAATTTTCTTCGAAGTTATTTATGTAAATTCATACAATATCAAACTTGGCAGCCAAATTTATAAAATTTCTGTTCTATAACATAGATAAAGTATTAATTTCGTTTTAAATTAGGCCTTTAGCGTTCAATCCTATATTTTCTTTATATAATAAATATTTTATCCTGATGGGTAAATAAAAAGTCTATAAATTGATTAATGGGACCTATTGCGGAAAGTGACATTCCACGTGATGGTGGTGCTCTGACAAGATTTGGACCAAATACAACGGCGAGATTACTTGATGTCATTTTGTTTAAATCACATCTGTCCATTACCTGTTATATAAATTTATATATTTTATTATAAAATTATAAAATAAGAATAAATAATATAATTCATAAAATAATAGTTTACCCTTGATAAAAATTGTACGATATATTTTAAAACCTGATAATTATCTTCTGGAAGTTTTTCAAGTACTAATATTTTAACTCTTCTTGGACGTTCATCTTTCGATAGAGCTAAAATAAAATAAATAATAAAAAAATTTCAACATATTTATAGAATATAAAATATAAGTACAAAAAAAAAAAATCTAAATGTTTACCTTGAAATTGTGTTATTTCATCATATAAATCATATGTCATAAGTGGTTCATCTAATTCTCGAAGAAACGTTTTAAGAAGAACAGCTGCTATATGCGGGTCTCCTTGAAAATCAATTGGTAATCCTTGGTTACAACGATTTTGAAGTTCTTTAACTACTGCTACATTAGCTGATCTTCTAAATATCCCTTCTGTTTCTAATGCTATAAATACAGAATAACATAGTAAAATAATATTATTATATTATTTTTTAAATAAGATAGCAAATATTTCCGAAAATTTTTCTGTTAAATTATGACAGCATGTTCTATAAGTAAAAATAAGAAAAAAAAAATGTTAATATAAATGTAAATATAAATTCTGAAATATTTTATTTAAATAAAAATGTAAGTTATTTATTCTTCTTTTAATATAGCATGAGAATTAACAACATTTTATTTAATTTGATTACACAAGTTATGTTTATTATCATTTCTAATTTAATTCTAATAATATAAATTGTGTAAACAGATTGAATAAATATTATTCACTTATTCTTATGCTATATTGAAGAAAAAATAAAATCAAAAAGATTATAATTTTATTGTAACTTTTAAATAAAAAGAACTTATGTTTATGTAACATATTTTTCTTATTTTTGCTTAAACTATGTTAATAATTTAACAGAAAAATACTTGGGATATTCTATACATAAAGACTAAATTATATATTCATAAATATACCATCAGGCATATCAAGAAATTCAATGCATTGTCGCACTATTGGTGGTATAGGATCACCATTGTTATTTTCTTTAATAAAAGTGAGACTTGCTCCAAATTGAGTGGTACCAACTGGTGTTGTTACCGTACTCTGAGGTGGACTTGTTGGTAAATTCTTTTTATTCTTTAACATTAGCTGTTCATTGTGTCTAAAAATTAATATAAGCAATTAATATTAAGATAAAATCAAAACACTTATAATTAAAAAGAAATACATACTCTATTACTTGAGGAGGTATAATAAGTTGATCAAGATTAATGTATTGTGCTAATTCTTCTAAGTAATTGACATACATCATTTTCCGACCAAACTTTGCACTAAAAAAAATAAAAATAATATCAGTTTTAGTTAATATTAATTGAAAAAAAATTCATAAATTGGTAATAAAAAGAAAAAATTACCTAATAGCTGGCTTAAATATTTGCCATACAATTCTAATAAAATTAGTTGGATGCACCAAATATAATGCTTTTAAATTTTTTTTATATTTTCTGTCAAAAGCTTTATATGCTTGCCATAACCAAGACAATGGTGGTTTATTTTTTGAAGTAAGACCATAATGAAAATAAACTAGACTATAGTCTTGTTCTACAAATGTATCTAAAGTATGTGTGAGATACCTATCAAATAAATATATTGTTATAAAAACAATCAAATAAATTTTTAAAAAATTAATATGTTTATTATAATAAATATGTATTTTATACAAACCTGAGAAGTTTTGCATAATTAAAAGTTTCTTTTCCAACAGGAGGTAATTTACATGCAGATACTACTATTACTTTACGACCAGCATTATCATCACCAACCACTTCTACAATGCCATATCTTGATATATCAAGATAATCTTCTTCATCCGCAAGTTCACCATCTAATGCAGCAAGATCCTCTGCTACTTAGCATGTATTAGCATATTATATTCATAATTATTTTTTTATTTCTATATTAGATTTTTATCATTTTCCCTTTGACTCTTTTAAAAAATAAATATTCAAATATAATTTAATTGTAAATGAAATAAAAAAAGAGTCATTTAACCTTGGCTTTTATGCATTGTTATTACCATGCAATAATAAACCATACAATGATCTACATAATTCACCTGCTAAGCCCCAAATGCCATGACATTTAGTGGCTACTAACAGAAGATAAAAGGTCACACACCGGATTTGATAACTGGAGCATCTACCAAAGCTTCTTCAAAGTTTTCTTCAATTGTTCCATCGCTTACTGGACTCTCCAAATAATTTCCTGCATTGTTAATTAAATCCAACTTTTCTTCTAAAAGCTGTGCTATAAAATAAAATAAAATAAAATTTAAAATATAATAATTCATGATCATAATATAATAATATATTAATTAATTTAAATTCTTCAAAAAAAATTTTTTTTAAAAATTAAAAAATATTTTAACAATAATATATATATTTTTCATGTACTTGTATTATTATAAAAAATTTTATCTAATTTTATCAAAATTTAGATTTTATATTTAAATGCTTTACCATTATTTGAAGTAGTTTGTAACTCAGTATCATCAAACTCCAAGTTGGGCTCATAATCATGATAATCTGACAAACTTGGGTATGGGTCTTCGACTTCATTAGCTATTGCTATTATACAAACAGAAGTATGCGCATTATTGTCTGCATCAAATATGTTTCAATGAATCACAAAACACTACATCAGCAATTCTTTATTTGATCAATGGTTTTGCATTATAAATAGATACTTAAAAGATACTAAATAATAACAAAAAAAAATATGTTTGCAAAACAAGTATTATAATAAATTGATGACTAGTATACATCTCGCGGTTTCTCGTTATATATTATTTTTCCCGATCACATTACACAGTACATATGATCTCCAATAAATATTTTGATATTTTTCATTGGTATTTACAAATCACTATTATGAAACTTAAAAGAATGAATTTTTTACTGATATGTATATATATTTAAACCAAAGATTGGAACTATATCAAGTTAAGATCAAATCTTGGATTTTGTAATACGCACTATCGTGTCAATACGCGAATTATTCGTCACTTATTGATGTGCTTATCCACATAGGAGACTGAGATCCATCGTGAAATGTTTTCTCGCTAAAACGAACAGAAAAACGTCGATGCCAGATGAACTTTTACAATCACGATTTTTGGCGATATGTACTTGATGTAACGTTTATTTGACACCTAAAGCAACGTCAACAAATGCGATAGACAAGCTTACCTGTCAAAGTTCGCGTTGGATTTAGCGTCGGTTGATAGTCTGCTTCCATTTTCTGGCAACTGTACGATAAAACAGTGCCGAGATTAAATTATGGGGCTTTTATGTACCCTGCTTTATAAACGAATAACGTTTTTCTTCTCGAACGACATTATCCCGACGCGGTATGGTAAACCAGCGTATTCACGTCACGCTTTCATTTGTTGTGTCGCTAATTGTAATTCGTAGTCACTCGTCACTGCCTTTCCCCACTGCTCGATTAACGAATACTTTCATACTTATTCCTATTGGTTGGTTGCATATTTTTGCCACGGACGAGTTATAAAATAGATTTGACATCTTATAAAACTTCATGTCACATTCATGTATTTTAAATTTTATTATTAATAAATAAATTACATTATTATTTGTTTTCTTATATAAAGCCAGTTTTAGATATAATAGAATTATATATAAATTCTATAAATTTACAAAGATTTTTATTATTTATAAATATTTATAATTTATAAATATTAAACTAAACATATATTTTCATATTAACACAGTTTATTATTATTATTTATATAATTTTTTTTATTTAATTATACAAGTTGCACAATTCCATATTTTTAGGCATGATTGCTAATTATTGTATATCATTTCAAATGGAATTTCCATAATTAGAACAATTATTGACCTTTAGGCTTTTTGTAATAAAAATATTTTTATTTAATAAAATAGCAATTTAGAGTACTTAAAAATTTATTAATTTTTTGTATTTATTAATTTATATGAATGATAGCAATAATTAGAATTTTCTTTATTTTTTTTTTTAATCAATTTTTCATTTTTTTATAAATTAATACTTTACAGTGTATTACTTTATATTTTTTTTATAATATTATTACTAGATATTTTTATATTTTAAGTTCTTGTTTAAATATCTGAAAAATTGATTTCATAATTCATATTATGTTTTAAATATGTATCAAGGAAATTTAAGGCTGATTTCAATATTATTTTCTAATTGTAAATATATGTCCATTTTATATTTCATACAAAACTTTACATGTTTATGGCTTATTTAAATTTTATAATTGTTTATACATTTCGTTTGCCAGTCTCTTTGTAAACATAAAAATAGATTTATACATCTTATTTAAATTATATGAATGTACATGTGTATATATTGCAATGCACATTACTGTAATGCAGAATTATATTTACTATTATCACTTATTTAAATATTATATTAAAATCACAAAATACAACATTTTATATTTGTAATAATCAAATATATGTATAATAATCATATTTTGATTAATTTACATATTTGAGTAAAGGCAAAATTTTTCTTGTGACAATATTATTATAATTATGATCAATATTTTGCATTGATAAAATATATATATTCATAAAATTTTCTTCAAATCCATTAATGTCATATTGCAATTTTCTGTACAATTTGCACAACAGATGTGCAATAATATTTATTTTATCTTACCTTTAATGTTAAGCAACAAGAATTGAAATTCATTTATAATACAATTCCATGTTTGTTCTGACAATTTAAAAATATATAATATACAATAGATAAAAAATGTATACTACAAATGAATAAAACTTCTTAAAAACGCATATAATAAATATATGCTCAAAAAGAATGTTATATTACACAATAATCTGTAAAAATCGAATCTAAAATATAATAATTGATCTGTAATTTTTTAAAATATGTGAGATTTGCACATATACAATGAAAGACAACATTTCAAATGAATTTCTTTCAATACATAAAAAAAAAATAACATAAAATTTTAGTTTTGATCTTTTTAAGATCAAATTGATCCTTATAAGATTTACTTCTTATTTACATTATACTTAATTTACTTATTTAATAAAATTTATCAATGAATATATAGAATGTATATGTACAATAATGTGATTCCTATTAAACTGAATACTTAGGACCACATTTTTTTATTGGTGTTAATCTGAGGCCTTTGGCCAACATTTGAGCTTCAAGGTCACGATCTTCGTCTTGATACCTAAAAGAAAAGTATGCTTCCATTAACTATTAAATATAATAGAATTTAAATATGCAATCACAATATTTTTTGTCTCGTGCAAATAAAAAATTATGCTGATCGATATAAAACAAAAAAAATATATATACATATAAAAATAAATATAAATATACATATTAAAATATATATATTAAAAAATTTTTATGTGCAAATAAATTTATTATTCGTTATCAGATCGTTAATATATCTTATTTTCTAATAAAAAGTCTATTTTTTAATCTCTAATTCTTTTTAGTAAGAATTTCTTATAGAAATATACAATATACTTCCATTCTTTTATAAAAATCCATTTAAAAATAATTATCTTTAAAAAACTATCTCTGCAGGACTCTTAATTCTTATGTTATTCATTTATGTTAAAAGTGATATGTGTTTAGGAAATAATTACCATAAACACATAAAATAATATATTTTATTTCTTTCAAAGTATCCATCAAAAAATATTTTAAAAGTTAACAATATATATCAACATAGTTACATTTCTATAATTTTTATGATGCTAATACGATTTAATTCTATACATGACCAGATATAATTTTAAATACAATCAAAATGTCTCCATTCTTACAATAACACAGTCATGTATATATCACTTTATCATAATATAAAAAAAATATTTATAGCAGAAAATAAAAAAAAATTATATATGAATAGCATGTGATTAAATTATAATAGAGATTATAAAAACTGTAAAAATATATATATATA